ATTCCATGGACTTGAGGGATTAATAAGGGACTTCACATATACTATGGTCAGACTGGGAAAAGAACACAGTCCAAGAGGATAACTGAGAGGGAAACCATCATTGACACCTACAGCACCAACGGCAGGTAACTGAACAATCACTGGCACTCACTCTGAGCAAGACAAACACGAAACAATCAGCATGCTCCTTGCTACAGACAAAAGAACAGCAGCATGGATGGGAACAAAATCTTGAGTTCTGCGTGGGATGTTGTGATTGGATGAGAGGCTTTGGTCTGTGAGCTGACCCGGACTTCATATCCCTTTGTAAAAGTCCAAATGTCCAAGAGTCTGTTGGTTTAGGGACAGCTTCACAATGAAATGCCCAGCAGAGGAAAGGGCAACAAAGTCTTAGCTGACCTCTTTCTTGGGACAAGCATTGTCAAAAAGGACATGTGGATAAACACATCCTTTTGTGTTTGTGCTGCATTACACAGTTGTGCTGGACAGGGCAATCCATTATCTTTTATCCCAGGAAGTGTTTCAACTGCAGAAAGTTTTGCCTAATCTCATTAGGCTCCATGACAGATCTAAAGTCGCCAAGTTGACTCAGCAGTATCTCTTACATTGTTACAATTCTGTGCTGATGGCTGATCATGATCAAGATTTTTACTTACTTGTGGAATGATTTTTTTTTGCTTCTACAACTTGCTTTACGTTAAGCAATAACAAAAATAAAAAATAGAAATGCTAACAAAATCAATAACCTGGGTTGTGTATTAACATGCTTCTCAAGAAGTAGACTGCCCCTTTTCAACTGTAAAACAAATTCCTTTCAAAAAAAAAATTCCTTTCATTAATGAGTATATTCAACTCAGAAGTATTGAACACCACGACAGCAGCATTAATGCTGTGAGTTGGCTGTTACAGAACTGCGCTGACTCATTGGACATCTTTGTATGTACGAAGTTACAGGCTGTCTGTGATGATACAAATGTGATTCAGGTAGATAGTGCACAAATGCCAAGGTGGATCACCTGTGGAGAGCTGAAGCACACCACTAGACAATTTGATTGTCAAGGAAAAAGATTCAGGGCATATTTGACTGTTAGAAGTGACAGGGTAGAAAATATTTGCTAATCCTTCGATTTCTGAGCTGTCAAGTATACTACAATGGACCATGGCTGTGAGTGTTAAAGCCTTTTTGGGCAGAAACAAGGCAGTCCCAAGTGGAAAGGGCAGAAGGGTCAGCAGCTGCAGGAATAGCTTGCGGTCCAGGAAGCACTCTCAGTTGTGGGATTAAGGATTCACCATACACAGACACATGCACCCATTTGACCTGTCTTCCACAGCATGGTAGCACCATTTTCAGATAAGTGGGACTCACAGCAGTGGTGACCAATTTACATACTGCTCCTGAGAGAGAAAAGGTAATTCTCTTCACAATATATTCACAGTGATGAGCTCCCTAAGTGAGTCAAGGTCTAAAGATCTTTCCTCAAAAGCACTGTTGCTGCATAGCAAGGGTTGTAGCAGACTGGCCTGGACTATATACTGTGCCATGTAAACTACTAGTGGTATGTAAGTGCACCAGTCCAGACTGAGCTCTTCATGATTTCTATTGCATTAGCAGTTTCAGATAAACAGGAATAGTGAGGACTGTATTAGGTAGAAAGGTATTGATGATTCGGAGGTTTTCCTCTTGCATAGACAACTAAAAGGGTTAAAAAGTCCACCTCTACTCTCTTGAGGCATAATTTGTTATAGACAATTTCAGAGGCATTTTGTGTATTGACTTTGGATTTCTATTTCAAAATCACATGGCATTTAGAGAGGTCAAAGCAGTTTCTTTTATTGTCTGTCCATTCTTTTATTTCAAAGGGATTATGTGACTGCTTTCTGCTTTCTATTGTATATTATGACTGTCTTGCAGACCATGAATGTTTCTTCAGCTGGTTTGTTCAGCTGATGTGCCATGAACTTGCTTGTGGAAGACCTGTAAGAATGGTCTCTGTGTGTACAAAAGGCACATTTTGAACCTAGCATCTAGTGCTGTGACCTGTGGAAAAGAACAGCTCACCCTAAACTGCCCTTCAAAATTCTAGCACTGAGTTCAAATCCTTTTCTGGTAGCATCTGACTGGGATCTAAATATCCTGATTTAAAATTTAAAAAGCAACAGAAATCTTGTTTTTCTTTTCTTCTCATCCCCTCTTTCCCCAACACATTTTTCTTTAGCTCTGTAATTCTTTTCTATGTAGATGCTCTGAATATTGCTTTTGAAATTAAGGTCTATTCCCACAATATGCTCACTGAGGGTTTTTGTTGCACTGATGTGAGGCACAGACTGTGACTGTGTCAGAGTTCCTTGAGCTGGATTGCTCCAGCTGTGCTTTGTGAAACTCTGTGTCTGTGGTCGTGTACAGTGCAGCAACTGACACCAGACAGTTGCATACAACTTTTTGCAGAAAAATCAATATTATTAAATGTAACAACTAAGATTTGAAGAATATGCTCTTTGTACTCTTTCTCATGTTCCCTGGTAGCAAAATTTTCTCCATTCCACAGCAAGAGCTGTGGATTCTGTTAGGAAGAAAAACTAGTTGTATTGGTGGTCCAGCCAACAGTAGGAAAAAATTTGCAAAATGTTCAGTGTGGGCATTCTATAGCAAGTAATCCTGCATATGCTGATCTTGCTAAAATTTGTGACTTCACAGATTGGTGATGCTGATAGCAATCTGGCCTGTCAGTACTCATAGCAGAGGAATAATAAGGAAAATAACACAGAATTCCTTACAGACATTCTGCAAGAGTGAATTCCTCAACTTTTATTTTTATTCTACTTCCACAAGTTATGCTACCCTATTTACTGCCACAATCAAATCATACTTACTATTCAAGTTCCACTGAACAGCTTCTATCATTATTTGCTTCAGACACTTCAATAGGCTAATTCCTTTTTTGCAAGGCTTCACATGCTATGAATAATGAATCTTCCTTTTTGGAGATTTTAGGGTAAAATCCTTTCATTCAGACTTTTTTGTTTGTTTTAAAGAATGGACTTATTCCAAGTTAAAGTCCATGTCTGACACTGAGCTCCATCCATCACTTTATTGGGTAAACACAGCATGGGGCGTGTCACAAAATAACAGGAGATATAATACAAGGAGTTCGTCAGGTCTGCCTCACGTACAGCTAAGAAGCTGTGCTGTTACCTTCACAGGTGAACCTGATAAGGTAAGCATTTCTTTCAATCATGATTTAAGTTCTAATCTGCAATTTAGAAAACATTTTAAGTATTTTACAAAACTTATAATCAGACTGATGTAACCTCATGTCTATGGCCTTCAATATCAGCTGAAGAGACAAATTATTAGAGGATGCCTTCTCCAGAAATCTTACCTACCTTTGTATGTGTGTTCTGTATTATTTTACTGTTTTACACTCTGCCATGCATAAAGTCAAAGTATTTGTCTGTATGTACTTTAATTTTGTTTACTAGCTCTTCCACACTGAAAAGCTGCTGTTATGTTACAACAAATTTTCCTCCTTCTTCCTCTATTACTTTAATTTTTCATTTAGAAGCAAAAGATAAAACTGAATTTGTTTAAATTCCAGGGGTTATGGAATGTATTCTCTGAATGAAATTAAGGAATGCAGTGTGTTCAGGTGACCTCAGCACACTGCAGCTCTGTGTTATCTCTAATAATTACATTTTCAAAGATTAACCACAAAAACATTTACTTCATGAATCTCTTTTGTCACCAAGAACATAAATGGAGCTTAAAATCTAAAATATAATAGTAAGCAGAATAAGCGAATTATAAAAAAATCTACCCAATATCACCTATATAAGCAGTTCCGTTTGCAGAGAGAATGATCATCCATTCTAGCAGGGGAGCAGTTAAATGCATTGTTTTCCAAATTATCCCATGAGATGACTGTCACACGAATGTGTTGATTCCATAGGGATTGTGGTACATTTGGCAGAATACCCTGTATTTTGTTTTCTAGCAGCCACAGAGGGAAACAAATTGCTTGAAGATCCTCTGGAGCTCACAAGTGATATAAACACTATACTGTTGCATTAGACTTTACAGTATTGTATTTTCTACAGTGTGTTGTCTTCTTTACTAAGAAATCCTTCCTTTTGGGGCTGGGCGAAATGCTAGATGCTGAAACTACAGGGAAAATTTTACAGAATATTAGAAAAAGGGCAGGAAAAAAATTAAATATTGCATATGTGAAGATCTTTGCAAATTAAACATGAGGATAAACAAGCACTGTTTTATTAAAAGGTGGATTTTATTTAAAAAGTGCCAATAAAATTAAAGAACACTTTTTTAAAATGGAGTGAGATATTATAGAGTCAATAATGAAAGGAATGTATTAGTCATAGATGTTTATCATAAACTGGATTAATTTATTAAATCATTTGTAGTCTTCATTACTGTTCCTTCATTATTTTACTTTAAAAAAAGAAGGTAATGTTGTTAATATTTGAGACCTCTGATAAAGCAGGTGGTGTAAGAACCTAGCTTCCATTTACGCTGGGCTGAAATTACAATGAATCTAGTAAAACTCATGCTATTGCTTCAGCATATTGTATTCTGGAAGTAACTGTAGTTTGGATAACAGGGGACTGCTCCCCTTTTAAGATCACTAATCATAAAAGTGATATTAAAAGCTATAGTGAAGAACCTGGTTTGGAGTCTCAAAAAAATCAAGATTTTGAGAAAAAACTTATATGTGAGAAATTACTGTCAAGAAGCCTCCTTCAAGGTAGCTAATACTCTTTGCAAGATTTTTAGCAATATTGTGTACATGTACAGAGAAAGACAACTTAAGTTTCAAATACAGGAATCACCAGCCTATGCATTGCTGGCAAGATGTCCAGCATTTTGATTGCTCATGAATCCAAAAGCATATCTGCCTTTTAAATCCTCGCCACTGGATTCTGCTTGCTGAAAAATACCCTGTGCATGAAGTTATGGGGTTCAGGTATACAGACTTTATTGCACTAAAATTAACACATTCCATCATAATAAGTCAGATTCTTTCTGTTTGCTTCAAACAATCCAGGTTTCACAATGGGCTCCATCAGTGCAGCAAATGCAGAATTTTGTTTTGATGTATTCAAAGAGCTGACAGTTCACCATGCCAATGACAACATCATCTTTTCCTCCCTGAGTTTGATTTCAACCCTGTCCATGGTGTATCTGGGAGCAAGAGGTAACACTCAGTCTCAGATGGAGAAGGTAAGTTACTTAATGCACTTTTACTCCAAGAAGCCAAAGTCACAAAATGGAGAAATGAATCAAGAGTTATATAGAGAAAATAATAAAAAAAATATATATTTTCACTATAACAAGAAGTTGGCTTTAACATTAAAAGAAAATATCTCAAGGACAATAGCAAAATAGATTACCAGTCAGTAAATTTTATTATATGATTCTTTTTCTACATTCTCACAACTTTCAGATAATGTAATCAGATTTCCTTAATATATAAAAATGATATATCTCAAGAAGAGAGGAAGACAGAATATTATTAGCAATATAGAATTTGTAACTCAATTAATTTGTAGATATTAACTATAAAAAATACCATCTAAGCAAAGAGTGGTATTTATAGTTTCCAAGAAGACCACAGGGGGCATAGACCAGTTGTAAGTTCACTTGTAAATTTTTGGTTAATCTGTGTTCTCAATTAGCACCTTTTTTTTCTGAGCCAACAGTTTTACCTCAAGCATCCTGTGTGAATCTCAAAGTCACATTAGTTTTGGTCATGCTTGCAATTTCTACTACTGGTGTTTTCTCTTGCAGGTTCTTCACTTTGATAATGTTACAGGAGATAGAGACTCCCAGGTAGAGAAATTATTTAATCTTTCTTTCTGTCTTATTTTCTCCTTGGAACAAAACTAGAACTGTTCTGCCTCTCCTTCTGGCAGTTTCAGACCCTGACAAAAACTCTGGTAATGTCCTCAGACCAAGGGGGTATGTCGAGAGAGGGAAGAAGGGTGTGATTCACCTGTTTTTTAACAAATGGAAAAGGACAGCAGGTTGCTCATCTTTCATCAGAACATGGGGTACAATGCTTTGGGCACCAGAGGGCCTTGCTGGGCAAGTGCTGCTGGAGGATGGCATGTGAAAGGGACTCATCACCTGGAGCCAGGGTACAGCAGTTAGATTTGTAGTTGAGAGACTCCAAAGCAGGACAGGAAGATGCTGGGCAGAGAAGAGCCCAGAAGTCTCAGGAACACAATGGTATCTTATAAAAAGCACATTTCAGGGGTCTTGTCTTGACAAGGATGAACTTGCCAAAGGTGATAGCCCTATGTTTGTGGGGCTGTAGCATGACTCTTAACTGATAGGGATGATATTTCAGGATCTTACTTCCTTATGCAATCTGTCTTATTTTCATGTCATCACCTCAGTGTGGCCCTTCTGAACAAATCCACAGTACACTGAAGGATCTTCTCTCAGACATCACCAGGCAAAATGCTACGTACTCACTCAGGATTGCTGACAGAATCTATATTGACAAAACATACCCTGTTCTTGAGGTGAGTAACATCATGTACTGACTTCCATGAGATTTCCTGTAAAAGCCCCTGTGGCTCTACCCTAGAGATGCACCACCAACAATAGCCTGTTGTCTGTCACTGAAGATGTGGTTGTGAGTCATGAGAGGAACTGGCACAGAAGGAGTTTGGACCTTTCTGTGGCTTTTAGGTGGCTGTTAGCTGGCGGTCAAGCAAAGGTATAATGGCATAAAATAAGCCCATGTTACAAGTCACAGAGACTGGTCAAGATTGCTGTTTGTTTGCTAGAAAAGGGGCTTTCAATGAAAAATGTAACTTTTAAGGGGAATTAAATACATTTTATGACTTGAAATAATGAAGACTAAAATTGTCAAATTTGGATTTTTTTCAATGCCAAATATCAAATCTTCCCAGTGAAAGGAAGTTTTAATTTTGAAATCTAAAAATGTAAGAACATAGTATTGAAAATAAAAAGACAAAAAGAGGAGACAAACATTGTCTTTCCTTGAAAATGTTTGTTAAAGTGAGAGTGGTTTGGTAAAATAAAGAAATTATTTCAAAGTTGTGGCTTAAGGCCCTATCTCATCAAAAAGCACCAGACCTATATATGTGAAGCAGTCTTTGTTGTACAGCTTTAGGATTTCAGTTACAGGAAGACAGCTGTTGACTGTTCAGTGTCTGACATGTTCAATGACTAAAATGTTCAAACACAGGAGTAAACATTCAACGTCCTTTTAACCATTCTGCTTTATGTCACAGTCTTGCTTTACACAGTCATATAATTCCAAGTTGTCATGAGTCTGACAACTGCAATCTTTCTGCTTATAGGAATACTTGAAGTGTGCAAAGAAATTCTACAAAGCAGAGCTGGAAGAAGTTAACTTCAAAACAGCTGCAGAGGAAACAAGACAGCTCATTAACTCCTGGGTGGAGAAAGAGACAAATGGTAAGGACTGAAAAATGGGTAGCAGGTATTTTCTCCCACCTACCATAAACTATATCCCTGTCTTCCTCTCCTCATAATGTCTAGAAAAAGTAGGTCAAGCAAGAGCAGATTGCTTATTGCTATGAAAACAAAACCCCACAAAGCAGGACCCCTCACCCTCACCCCTACATTGCAGAGACTGGTGCATACTAGAGAAGGTGTATCTTACCACTCCCTTCCTTCTCTGTCTCTATTAAAGGACGGATTCAAGATTTGATTATGCCAGACTCTGTTGATCTCGATACTGCACTGGTCTTTGTGAATGCCATTTACTTCAAAGGGATATGGAAGACCGTGTTTAGAGAAGAAGACACTCAGGAAGTGCCCTTCAATGTGACAGAGGTAGGAGGGCACAGACACAGCTTCTGGCCAGGACAGCTGTTGGCTCACACAGCCAGCAGTCTGGGTGTTACAAATACAACCTATTGCTGTCACAGGTTGGGTGATTTAGTTGGGTGCCTGACCTAAAGCCAAGTGCTTGGCCTAAAACCAAGTGGTGTTTGCAAGAGCTGTGTCTGACCAGGATTCCAGGGCACACAAGTAGGCAAGAGAGGTAAATGGAGACACAGCTCTTCTTCAAGGCAGCATACTTGAAGATCAAAATCTGTCCCTTTCAAAGGGCTTATATATTTTACTGACCAAAAAAAAAATTGGTCCCCAGTCACATCATCTCACATTTCTGTTTTTGCAGCAAGACAGCAGACTTGTGCAAATGATGTGTCAGAACAGTACCTTCAAAGTGGGAAGAGTTGCTGCAGACAAAATTAAGGTCCTGGAGCTTCCATATGCCAGTGGAGAGCTGAGCCTGTTGGTGCTGTTGCCTGATGACATCTCTGGCCTGGAGCAGGTATGACCCTGGCAGGGGAAGCAGAAGTGGAGCTTGGCTGTTTTCAGTCTTCTTGATGTCCCAGTTGTCCCAGCTATGCTGGGCTGGCAGGGGAGCAGAAAAGCCACCCAGGAGCTACCAGGTGCCCAGGCAGAGACCTGAGAGAGCCCTGAATTCAGTTTTATAAGATGAAGGAAAGGCAGTGTAGTGCTGCTGTAGTCCTGCAGAAGAGGATGTTGCCATATGCCCCAGTCACCATCACGTATCAGAAACTGACACAATGCCAGATTTTTATCACTTTGAGTGATTTCAAAGGTTTACTGAAGCAGAAAAGTTTATCCTTGGGGAAATAAAGAATGGAAGTGATGAGGAAAGCATTTCAAGAGGTGACTAAAAGAAAAATGAGAAATGTAGCACTAGAGGAATGACACTGAGGAAAGGTATCAATAAAATATGTTCCAAGAGGAACTGCTTTAGGGCCAATTTGATTTGATGTTTTCAAAAACTGTATTTTTACAAAAAAATACTTGAACTGATAAAAAAATTTTCAGATTACAAAGTTTTGAGGAAATTCCTCAAGACAGATGAAATACAGTCCGTAGTCAGGAGGAAGAATACAGGATGAATAAATGTATTTAAGATTAAGTATTGGTTCTACTGTGTACACAAAGTAAATGTGAAAAAACCTAACACATGGCATAAACACATTTGTTAAGGCCACTGAACTTTTGTATAAGACATTTCATTCCCTACCTTTCTTTACAGCTTGAGAACAAAATCAGCTATGAAAGACTCATGAAGTGGACCAGTCCCAGTGTGATGGAGAAGAAGAGGGTGAAAGTGTACCTCCCACGCATGAAGATTGAGAAAAAATATAACCTCACATCTGTCCTAACAGCCCTGGGTATGACCGACCTGTTCAGCCCCTCAGCCAATCTCTCTGGCATCTCTTCAGCAGAGAACCTGAAGATATCTGAAGCCATCCATGAGGCGTACATGGAAGTCACTGAGGAGGGCACTGAGGAGACTGGCTCAGCTGTTGTGACAGGAGATATCCAACAATCCTCTGAGCTTGAAGAGTTTAGAGCTGACCACCCATTCCTTTTCTTGATCAGACACAATCCAAGTGACATGATCCTCTTCTTTGGTAGATATTGTTCTCCTTAAAGAGAAAAAAATCTGGAAATAGTGATTGCCTTTCCCTCAGAAACAGACCCCCTTTACTTTAGTATTGTAGTATAATCTCATCTCTTCGTTACTTTCTCTAGGGGGAAAGCCTTCAATATCTATTGAGATATTCCAGAAGATGCATTTGACTTTTCAGATCTTTAGGTGCTGGTATTTCTGCTTACACAAGTTGTACTCAGGATTTATATCCAGGATTGAGTGAGAATTCTGTGAGGTATCTTAGAAGTATTTCCAATCATCTTTGAGTAACTTGAGAGACAGGGCCAGTGTTTTGACTTCTGTGAAAAAATCTGACAATGATATTGAGAATCTGGTTTTCCTGTAGGAGTTTTCAGAAATAAACATAGTTTTCAGAATAATCCTGTTCCTTTCTCTTGAACTTGTTGAAGTGATGCCTGGACAACTTGCAGATGAAATTCTTAACTTCAGCAAAGCATTCTTCTTCCAGGAAGGCATTTGTGCTAACTTGTGCTGTATGTACTGTAAAGCTAGGTGTCTTGTTCTGAGGGAGTATACAGAAAGTTTACCATTTCTTCATAAATCATCCAATCCAAATACAATATCTTCCTGACTTATATAATTTCCCACCTTCATTCCTGTAACATGTCATTGATTTTGTGAATGTTAATTAATGGTCCTTCTATTTATTCTAATAAAAGCATTGCAAACCAAATATGCCTCCACCTGTTCTGGGTTACTGCATGCCATAACCAAAACATACGATATACTGGGTCATGATTATTGACAGAACTGGTTTAGACAAGGATTTAGATCCTATTTTCAGAACTAGAATGTACCAATATATGAAGTCATTAAAGAGATTAGCATATTTCTTCTAAAATTTTGAGCTTAAGCAGGTAAACCCTATAGCCCATACTCTTACCTTGAGCTTATCTCAATATGACATATCAAATAACTCAAGTTTTTGAATCTGCTGTTGTATTTCCAGAGAGTTTTAGAGTCTTTTTCTTAGAAGGTAGACTGCTTCAGCTGCCTAATACCCAGAGGAACCATACGAGGAAACCTTCATTACTGTCTTTCGATGAAATAATCCCCTAAAGATACTATTTCCTATTCCACAGTCTTTAGAGGAAGATTCCCTGGTTGCAATTTATCCAATTGAAAGAATTATTAGTATTAATTGCTGACTTAACTCATCTTCTTCCTGCTGGGATACACATGCAGAACTGCAAATCACAGTATCACCTCTCAAAAAGTGCTTAAAAAAAGGAGACACGTGGAGCTGCCTCAAACATTTTCAGAGTCAGCATTAAATGTAACTTGAAATGATGATGCTGACTGCAGGGAAACACATTTTCTTAGCTGCTATGAGGTCCACAGGAAAACTGCAAATACTGATCTTCCCAAGACAGTTATAAGAGATTAGATACAGTTAACACAAGTATTTAAGCAAAAAATTATTTTAATATATATGACATGTTCTTCTTCCCTTATGGCCTAAAGCAATTAACAGAGTTTTGCTACAATCAAAAAAAAAAAAAAAAAAAAAAAAAAAAAAAAAAAAAAAAAAAAAAAAAAAAAAAAAAAAAAAAAGGAAAAGAAAAAGACAGTATTTATAAAATACTAAGGACCAGAGTGCTAAATTTTATTAAACAATTATAAATCTGCTATTAAACTGAATTAAGCATGTCTGTCACTCTGCACATTCTAGGTAAAATGGCAATAAAATTAACCTTTATTATAGAAATATTTATTGCATAACATGAATATAACCCCCCCATTATTCTGTTTAATTGTTTCTTTGCTTGATGGTTATTTTAAAGTAATGAAATTGAGAAAATCAAGGCTGAAATGGTAAATGGATTCCTAAAACTACATACGAGAGAGGTTTTCAAGCCACGGAGTCCACCTAATGTCTTCGCTGTGAAACAGAGCTACTTGACTCATTTTAAACAGGCCATTAGGTGTCACTAGGCATACAAAATGATGTCTCAGTTTTCAAAAACTAGGTTTGGTAGCTTAATGTAGGTTCCAATTTTGTTCTTAATTTTTGTGTAAGTAGGCGATTATGATCAGTATACTGAAATTGTGGACCTGTGGCAACGTGCTTGGAACCCAGTCATTTTTAAAGAAAAAAAACCAAAAATATTTTTTGGTGAAACATCAGAGCCATTTTAAGAGGTCCATGTCCTGGATGAAAAAATATCACAGTCAAATACTGTAGAAGGGGCAGAGCTATTTGGTTTATGAAAGAGAAAGCATTCTTCATAAAGGCTAAAATGAGAGGTAAAGGGTAGATTCAGCAAAATTGAATAATACCATGCCCCTGTATCAATGTCTGGGCCCAGTACTGTGCTGGTGCATTGCTTGTCTGGGATGGCAGGACCTGCTGTAAAGCCACTGTGTGGTCAGTGTGGCTGCTGCAGTCCCCATGGGAAGCATGGAGGGTGTTACAAAGGGATGAGGGAAGAGCAGCCATGAGGACAGCAAACACTGCCTGCTGCTTCTGAACTCTCCTCTGAAGTCCAGAAAGAGTTTAAAAACATGGATCCCAGCTCCCACAAAGTCTAGGTATTGTCCTAAAGTACTTTTCATTCCCTGACAGCGTCACTTAAGATGGTGTGTCAATAAATTGCCATCTGTCCATTCACTACACTCTGTTTTCACCATGTGCTTGTGTTGTTCTGGATACACGGTGCAGCCCCCTGGGCTGTCTGTGGAGCAAAAACAGACACACACATAAGTACAGTATTCAAAATGCTCTGTGAACCTAGTGTGCCTTTCCTTCTCATGTCATTTGGGGAAGGGTTAGAGATGACATATCCCCCGGCTAGGGGATATAATCGTCTGGGGCCATTCCACATTCCTCTGCATATTTGACTTGTGAGATAGGCTTACCTTCTCCTAAGCAAACCAAATCTAAGACTGAAAGCACAAGATTTGGCAGGCAGTATGCTGTAACAGACTCCTCAGAGGAGATGCACTCAGAGAACCTCCTGGATTCCAGGGCAAAGCTGTCCTGGGACCCCAGATGGTATTTGACAAAACACAGCATGCAGAATGAAACTGGAAGCTACATATATGTTGGGAAGGCTTTGACACAGAGCGGTGGTTCAGTTTTCTGTTTCTTGAGGCTAGTGAGATAAGATTTTTCCATCTGGAAAAGAGACAGGAGAGAGGGGATTGTCAAGGAGTAGCAAGGGTGAGGCTGCTTGGGAAAGGAAGGAGACCCAGGGCAGCAGGTGACAGCAAGGCCAGCAGGGCAGTGGCATCCCCCATTAGGTATTCAGTGCTACAGTTCCCTATACTCTTCCTACAGTCCAGTGATTCTCAAAAAAGTCTGTAGTGAGGAGGTAAATCAAATATTAAGTCTGGAGATTAAGTTCACACATCATGGTCTATAATGGTCCTAACCAGAACACTGTTGTACTTCAGGAATTAGTGACCCACATAGAAATGGACCTGATCAGGCTGACCAGCTGTTTTGTGCTAAGTTATGTTGTACATACTGGACTATTCTGTGCTGAACACATCATGTGGCTGCAGGCTAAACTTTAACTGCTAATGTCAATGGAGAAGTTTGTAGATGCTCCCAAACTGGCACCTGGTGATGATGCTGCCAGCACACCCTTGACCTCATTGCAGTCTACAGCTTCCTCATGAGAGGAAGAGGAGGGACAGACACTAATCTCTTCTCTGTGGTGACCAATGACAGTACCCGAGGAAATGACCTGAAGTTGTGTCAGGGGAGGCTTAGGTTAGATACCAGAAAAAGGGTCTTCATGCAAAGGGGTGGTTGGGCACTGACCAGGCTCTCCAGGGAAGTGGTCACAGCATCAAGCCTGACAGAGTTCAAGAAGCCTTTGGATGATACTCTCAGGCACATGGTGTGTCTCTTGGGGATGGTCCTGTGCAGGGCTGTGGATTGGACTTGATGATCCTTGTGGGTCCCTTCAAACTCAGTATATTGTGTGATTCTGTGATTCTGTCATACTGTTATTCATCAGTAGAAATCATAAATGACAAAGAGTTGTTTACTTCTAAGAACATACCTATAAAACTGCAAAGATCACACAACCAGATAACCTCTGCATGCACAGGATATGAAGTGTTCTGTGCCCTGAATAAAGATTCATCCAGTGCTGCACTGCTTGGGGTTCCTAGCATTGGAAGGGAAATTATCTATGCTATCTCCTTTTTGCCTCTCATTTTATTTCCAATAAAAAAAGTGCACTTTAATAATTTTCTTCCTAGTGTCCAAAATAAATACTTGCAGTAGTACATTACAGGGTCCATTTTGGTGAGGTTCATGGCCAGGCACAGGCAATGAAAGCTGGCAAGGACTGCAATCAAAAGACTCAGTTTAAATCCTTCTTTCAAGTGAGGGGGATATAGGCAACGCCATGGAGGCATCTCATAGCTCTGTCACAAACAGTACTCTGATCCAAAGCTTGGCAGTTGCTTTAGATGTGACTAAGCTCAGGCAGTCAAACTCCTAGGAGAGGAATGATATTTTCAACAGTAGAGGTTTCTGAAGTCCTGAATGATATGAAGACAGTGATAGAGATCAGCTATTCAGTATACCTTCAGACACAGGAACGTAATGGTATTAAAAGAAGTTAGTAGAAAGCGGTTAAAAAACCCCCAGAAGACAGAGGTAGCTGACAACAAACAGGTATCTGAATGATGGAACTCATAGTCAAAGAATGCTGGAGATAAAATTTTACATGATTTTAGAAGGAGATTGGACAAAACCATGGAAAAGAAATCCATTGAGAGGTAATAAATATATAGAAAATACTATCACCTATTTAACTTCCAGGACTAAATGGCCAGTGTCAGAACCATGACATTGTGACCAGCCCCAGCAGGAGATTTCCCTAACACCCTCTGCATGTGGGTATGGAGCCTGTACTGGGTACTGGCACCACTTTGGTACTAGGCATGGGTTTTGTGAGAGGAGGACATGAACTATCCTCTGCCAGTTGCAGCAGGCTGTGTGATGAATGAAAAGAACTCATTGTATGCTGAATTTTCAGTAGAGGAGCACATGGCACCTCTGCTCAAGTCTATTTAAGAAAGTGTGGCAAGAGAAATGTGAGAAATGTATTTAGAGAAACGTGTTTAGAGAAACAAAACAAAAGACACGTGGAAGGAGATGTTATTAAGAGCTCAAATAAAGGCACACTCTTGGGAGGCACCTCTGAAGGACTGCAGCCACAGGCAACCTACGTCAGGGTAATGACACTCCTGAAAGGCTGAAGCAAGGACATTGCTGTGGAACTG